ATGTCCGTTACTGGACCAAACTGCCATTACCAGAGGCTTTAAGTTGATGGAATCACTAATTCCAGTGCCTGGTAACCTATGAAAATGGATCTGCTAGGGAAACATCCACAGTCTATTGTTATGCATACTTATCTTCCAGAAGCTCTAACCTAGAATGTTGCATTTTCTCCAAGGAGCCAGCAGTCAGATACTGGGTTATCACCAACCTAGTACTATCAATAAGGCACATAATGGGCAAAATAGGCTTTTGTGCACTTAGCCACTGTTTGCAACACCATTTCTGGAAAATGTGGAGAATTCTAAACAGTCAATTAATATCATATCATACAATCCATTTCTAAACTGGAGACAGCTTGTATAACCTTCCCATTGCACATACAGCAACTTGTCATATGAATAAAATGATAGAGAGAAGTAACTAGTCAAAAAATCCTGACAAGTACCATCTCAATTAGGTAATCAAGGTTAGTGTCAGTGACCATTCATGCTGACAACAGCACATACCCCATACTGTTAACAGGATGAGAATGACATTTACTGCTGTATAATCTTCCTGCAAGAACTTATTGACATTAGACTACTTTTAAAAAAACGTATTAGACAAATCACAACTGAGAGACATTCTACAAAATACTTGACAAGAGCTCCTCAAATTATTAAGATAATCAAAAACATGGGAGGTCAGAGAAATCGCCACACACCAGTGGAGGCTAAGGAGACATGACAGTTAAATGCAATATGGTATCTTGAATGAAACTGTAGGGGTGTAAAGGGTTTGATACCTTTCCTCCTTTATGAGAGACAGTCATAACAAAAGATAGGTTAAAGAGAGAAAAACAGCAATTTTGATCAGTTTTATGTGACATGGGAGACTTCCAACTGAAAACTCAAAGACCTATAGTGAACTAGAGTGTGAAGCATGAATGACTGGGCAGAAAAATGACTGGACAAAAAGAGTATAGGCTAATAGCAGTAGACTAAGGGCATGTGGAAGAACCCAGCAATGCCTGTCTGTTCAGACTCTTCTTGGCCTGGTTAGCATTTCTTCCTTCCAGGTATAGGGCAGGATCTTCTCTGGAATGGAGTTCTTATGACCTACAATCAAACGAGGTAGGATAGAGAATTTCCTTATGTTCAGTTCTTAAACAGAAAGGCAGGGAAGAGTTAGGAGTAGCATTTCCAGGTTTTTATGACTGGCATTGGGGAACAGTGGTCCCGGTGTTTACGACCACCTTGGAGAAGAGGTATCCTTGTTTCTATGGTTTGTTTTGGGAGAAAGTGAGGATGAGGAACAGAAGGGACTCGATAAAGAAGGTCACTTTGGATATCATTTTCTAAGCCTCAATAGGAAGAAGAGGACCATAAAAGAGCATTAGGGAAAAATTGGTGGAATTTGAAAAAACATGGTTAGTTAATAATGTTTGAATATTAGTTATGAAGAGGGTTCCACAGTAATGTTAATGGGGACACTAGGAGAGGAGTACAGAGAAACTATTATTGTAACTTTTCTGTATATCCATTCCAAAATAAAAATTTTAAGAGTATTCCAGGTTAACTTCCTTTTTATTGATACTTTTCTGAAAATTAAGCATGCAAAAGAGTTGCTTTTCAGCTCTCACTTCCCTTTCAGCACTGAGTAATAAGATCAAGTTGCATCAAGCTGTCAGTGATGAAGAGGAGAAAACAGATTTCATAGCTGCTGTCATCTTTTGGCTAAGAGCAACGATCCAGTCTCTAATGTGTCAGCCATGGTGGTACGATACAACCCTCATCCAACGATGGGCTCTTACTTCTGGCTTTTGTCTTTGGCAGTGAGGCCACTAAACTAACTGATAACAACTTAGTGTCAAAGAAATACCTAATTTCCAATTAATGCTAACGATACAATTTTTCCTATCATTATCTCTTCATACAATATAAGGGATAGGGACTCGATAAATTTTTCTCAGGGATTCAACTGATTTATTGTCCTCATGCTGAACCTATCAGATCAATTTCAGGATTGAAATTTTTAGTGATTCAGGTTTTAAATGTGACTGTTTTTTCTCTTCTCTGTACTGAGCAAATCATGTAGTCTAAATTGATGGCAGCTTCATCAAGTGTTTTCTTGAATAAGACTGTACTAACTTTTGCTTTACCAAAAGTGAGTCTGCTTTCCAGTATAAGTGCTGTGCTCTTGTTATGAAGTAGCCCTTTTCATTCCAACTCCAAACCTGTTCTCTTAGCTTGGTAGGAACACCACTAACTTGGAAAGCACAGTGCAAGCAGCATCATGATTCTGGAAAACAAGATCGTAGGCAAGATGCTGAGGCAGGATGCATTCAAGGGCTTGAGGAGATGACTTGTTTTATAAACATTCAGTGCAAAATGAATCACTAGAGCAGGATAAACTTAATGTCCTCTATACCCTTCCCCCTCAAAAGTATGCAAGAATCAATACCATCACCACTACCTCCAGTGCACCTGTGCGCGCACACACACACACACACACACACACACACACACACAAGAATGCTTGGGAAATCTCAGGGATATCAAAGTTCCTATAAAAACAGGCAAGACATATTCAGCCATAACAGGGGGGTCAAAATCTAGCAGCAAGTTGAAGGAAACTAACAGAGGGCACAGTTGACCAGAAAAGAAAGTAGAATGCCAAGGGCAGGTTTGGCTCCCACTCAAGTTCACCAGTAATAAGTCATGTTTACAGACTCATACAGACTTTCACATCACTCAGTGACTTTTCATAAATATTTATTGGTGTTATCCACAGAATTTAAGCTATTCCTCTATTTAAAAAACTTCACATTCTAAAGTGAGTTTGTCTATAGGCATTTTCTTATATTTTTTCTATAAAGTTTTTGATATTACATAAACAGAAGTTTTTGTGGGTGAAGATTTTATTTTCTTCAATTCTGAAACTGACACTTCCTCAGGAAAGAAATTTCTAAAAACATTCAATATTTGTTAAAAATCATTTATTCAAAATATAAAATTTTATCCTAATTATTTGATGTTTAATGCAATTAATTTTGTTGTGAAGGCTTTTGTGGTTTTCCCTGAAATGTCTCTGACTTTAGTGAAGGCTTCTGATCATTAAGGATGTTGACAATTTTCTTCTTCATGTGAAGTCTCTGATATACAATAAAACTGATTTCTAATAGTTCTTCTGAAATGTATTATGTTAATAGGATTTCATCCCAGTCTAATAGAGAGACAGGAAAACAATGCATTTAACTAATAGGTCAAATCAGAGAGCTCAATGGAAAACAAATTTAATTCTTGCTTGAAAATAAACAATTGATGAAGATCTGGAAGCAGAGAATTATATTCCAAACAGTTATCCAGACACCAGCTTCCTTTGACACTGTGCTCCACCACATTCAACACACAAAAGCCAACTTTCTGTGGAAATCATCTCAATTCCATCTTACCATGGACCAGGAAGACTATAAGATGCTTAAGGGCCAGGACTAAATGTAATAGATATCATTAGCATCATATTCTTTGGTCAGCGCACCTGGATGAATGAGATTGGGATTTTCAACAAGTTATGAGCCTAGTGGAAAAGGAAAATGTTAAGGAAAACAATTTTCCAGTCTACATGACAAGAGTTTCTCTGCTGTGTGGTATAAAATAAGGTATGAGTTAATTCAGGACTTCTCAAATTCATGATGTGTTAGGGTTTTCTCTCTGGTATGCATTCTGATGTGATGTACTCTAAGAGTTGCCCTACGAACAAAAATTTTCCCACATTCACCACATTCATAGGGTTTCTCCCCTGTGTGAATTCTCTGGTGTACTCTGAGAGTTGAGACATGGGCAAAACCTTTCCCACATTCATTACACTCATAAGGTTTCTCCCCTGTGTGAGTCCACTGGTGTGCATTGAGGTGTGACTTTTGGTAGAAAGCTTTCCCACATTCATTACATCCATAGGGTTTCACACCTGTATGAATTCTCTCATGCACTCTAAGGGAGGAGTTATGGGCAAATGGTTTCCCACATATATTACATTCATAGGGTTTCTCCTCTGTGTGAACTCTCTGATGTGCATTAGCATATGACTTACCAGAGAAAGTTTTCCCACATTCATTACATTCATAGGGTTTCTCCCCTGTGTGAGTCCTCTGGTGTCCACTAAGGATTGACTTTCGGGAGAAAGTTTTCCCACATTCATCACATCCATAGGATTTCACACCTGTGTGAATTCTCTGATGCACTCTAAGGCTTGAGTTAAAGGCAAATGTTTTCCCACATATATTACATTCATAGGGTTTCTCCCCTGTGTGAGTCCTCTGGTGTACCCTAACTTCTGACTTCCGGGAGATAGTTTTCCCACATTCATTACATTCATAGGGCTTCTCCCCTGTGTGAGTCCTCTGGTGTGCCCTAACTTTTGACTTCTGGGAGATAGTTTTCCCACATTCATTACATTCATAGGGTTTCTCCCCTGTGTGAATCCTCTGGTGTAGCCTAAGTTTTGACTTCTGGGAGAAAGTTTTCCCACATTCATTACATTCATAGGGTTTCTCCCCTGTGTGAGTCCTCTGGTGTGCACTGAGGTGTGACTTATGGGAGAAAGTTTTCCCACATTCATTACATTCATAAGGTTTCTGCCCTGTGTGAGTCCTCTGGTGTTCACTAAGGTGTGACTTGTGGGAGAAAGTTTTCCCACATTCATTACATTCATAGGGTTTCTCCCCTGTGTGAATGCTCAGGTGTCCACTAAGAATTGACTTCCGGGAGAAAGTTTTTCCACATTCATCACATCCATAGGATTTCACACCTGTGTGAATTCTCTGATGCACTCTAAGGTTTGAGTTAAAGGCAAATGTTTTCCCACATATATTACATTCATAGGGTTTCTCCCCTGTGTGAATCCACTGGTGTGCCTTAACTTCTGACTTCCGGGAGAAAGTTTTCCCACATTCATTACATTCATAGGGTTTCTCCCCTGTGTGAGTCCTCTGGTGTACACTAAGGTTTGACTTCCGGGAGAAAGTTTTCCCACATTCATCACATCCATAGGATTTTACACCTGTGTGAATTCTCTGATGCACTCTAAGGGATGAGTTAAGGGCAAATGGTTTCCCAAATGTATTAGATTCATAGGGTTTCTCTCCTGTGTGAACTCTCTGACATGCACAAACATATGACTTCTCAGTGAAAGCTTTCCCACATTCATTACATTCATAGGGTTTCTCCCCTGTGTGAATTTTCTGATGTGCTCTAAGCACTGAATTACGGGCAATAGTTTCCTCACATTCATTACACTCATAAGGTTTCTCCCCTGTGTGAATCTTCTGATGTACTCTGAGGGCTGAATTATGGGTAAAAGTTTTCTCACAGTCACTGCATTCATAGGGCTTCCTACCTGTGTGAATTCTCTGATGTGCTCTTAGACCTGAAGTGAAGGTGAAAGATCGCCCACATTCATTACATCCATAAAGTTTGAATCCCACATAAGCTCCAGAATGCTGAATAGAGTGTGAACTTGTACAAAAGGATTTCCCACATTTTTCATATTGAAATTTCTCCCTTGAATAGGTTCTCTGATACCGAATGAAGTGTGCTTTCTGTTCTTCTTTACTCAATGTTTTATCATTGTCATCAATAAATATTACTTGACACAGAGGCTTCTTTTGTTTTTCCTGGATCTCTTGTATGTTGTCATCAATTTTATAATATCCTAAAATGATAAAAATTGAAAACATATTATAAATCTTACACTTTTCATGGAGAGGGACTTGTACCCATGTTTTCTTATGTATTTTATTCTATTGTTTCTGGTCATGTTTCCAAAGACTAAAAATGCACACAGACACTCTTTCTTGTTCCTCATGCATAATGTTTAAAGAAATAGGTATTATTTTCATCCAAGATGGAGTAGTCCCTTTCCTCCCAGATCTTCCTTCTTACAATTAAAAATCCTTACCAAAAAAAAAAATGAACAAACATACAAAGACTCTAGAAAATAGAAAAATGTGAACCTCAGGACTTAAGAAATGACACAGCAGAGAATTCAAAGCTTTGCTTTCTGCTTCCCATATATCCTAGACAGAGTGCTGAAGAAACCTACAATCTGGAGCCAGCAACAAAAAGAGCTCCAAGAAAAAAAAGCATTTCTTCGAGTCAAAAGTAGTTTAGCAGAACTGAAAACATGTTTGAAAACATCCACATAGTCTTGCAAAACAAAAACAGAGCGCTTCTGTTGTTCCATGAAGGCTGATCTACAAGCTAACCTTCCACTGCAATGGATACAGACTATCTGTGTGCTCTTGTAATATTTCCCTCCATGAGCCAAATGGGGAACTCATGGGAAAGATCATAAAGGATCCTGAGAAAGTTCCACTTTCAGGATATGCTGGAAGATATAACAGGAGCTGCTGCCAAAATTCTGCCTAGAAATATATTCTTATCGGTCAGGATTGGTAGCTTAGCCTGTAATCCCAGCACTTTGGGAGATTGAGGCAAGTGGATTGCCTGAGCACGCAGGTTTAAGACTAAATGGGGCAACTTGGCGAGACCTTGTTCTACAATAAATAAAAAATTAGTTGGTAGTTGTAGCACCTGTACTTTCAGCTACTTGGAAGGCTGAGGTGGAAGGATTGCCGGAGCCTAGTAGGTCAATACTGGGGTGGCCGGGATGACTGAGCTCCAACTCAAAAAAAAAAAAGAAATATATTCTTATCTAATTTATGGAACAAATATATTCATCTGTAAGGGCAAGAACAATAAATCTGCTGTTTTAGGGCACTAGCAGTCACTCACAGCAGCTAGAGGAAGAAAAGCAGCACAGAAACAGGAAAACAGGCAGGAATACCTGGTAGGCCCAATTATAGGGAGAAGAGATAAAGTAGCACTTGTGATAACCACACCTTCAAACTCAAGGACACAGTGCTTTCTACAACAGCTAAACTCACATTTTCTCAAATACACAGGGAACATTCATCAAAATACAATGCATTCTTGGCTGTTAGACAAACCTTCCCAAATACAGAACAGAAATCATACAAAAGATGTTATTGAGCTACAGAGAAATTATACTAGAAATTAATAAACACTTTTTTACTTGGAGAAATACAAAATATTTATAAATGATATTCTTCTAATTTACCCATGGGTCAAAGAAGAAGGTTCAAATAAGATATTTTGAGGTGTATGAAAACAACACAAAAATACAGAAATTTGTGAATGCAACTAAAGCAGTGCTCAGACATAAATATGTGGTTTAAAATTTTTATACTTGAAAAGAGAGATCTCTGGATACTTAAGTTCCCACTTTAAGAAATTAGACAAAGAGAGACAATTAAATCTAAAGAAAGTAACGGAAGAAAAACAGGAAAGACTAGACAATAAAACTGAAAACAGAAAACAGCACAGAAAATCAACCCAAAGCTTAGTTACTTTATTAAAAAGATTTTTTTTCAATGATAAGCAGAAAAAAAAGTCACAAATTCTCAATATCATAAATGCAAGAGGAGAAATTACTGACAAAACAAACATTCAACAGATAAAACAACATGAGCGACTATAACAAATTAAGGTGGCTTAAAGAATAAATATTTATTTTTCTCAGTTCTAGAGACTGGAAGTCTCAGAATAGGGTGCCAACACAGTTGTATTCTTGTGAGTGACCTCTTTGGGTTATAGACTATTCTTGTAACAGACTCACATGGTGGAAAAGTAAGCTAGCTAGTTGTGGTATCTTCTAGTGAGGGCATTTTAATCTATCTTTTTTAACCAGAAAAGCAAATAACTGTATTTGAAAACTCTAGAAAGAAGTAGGAGAATATGGACTGTATCCAGAGGGAGTTTTTTGGATTCTTAGAACTTTATTCCTTTGTTTTAGAACACTGATATCATATTATTTGATTCAGTAACTCAAATCCTTAAACGTTTTCTTTTACCTGTGCTCACAGACTTTAATGTACGTATTATCTGAATTCAAACCTTAATGACAACAGAACATGAAATCTAAATTATTTTACTTTTATTGACTAACAACTTTACCATTCTTTTACAACAATTTTTCTAAGTTTTGTATTTAGAGATAGCTTATTTGGCCAGTCTATATGCTCTAATCATATGGGATTATGCTTGATCTAAATTATGTCAATCTTTATGTAATGCCATTTGTTTATATGGCTTCACAACAAAAACTTTCAATAAGTGAGCATCACTTCTAATAATTAAGATGATTTTATTTTTTCTTCTTTGAATTATATTGAAAGCTATAACTTTTTAAAATTTCTGGAATCATTAGTATAGACAAAGGCTAAGATACATATGAAAAGATGTTTGACATCATTAGTGACAAATAAACTGTTGTGGACTGTGTCCCATCCCCAAATTCATATGTTGAAGAACTAACCTCCAGTAATACTATATTTGGAGACAAGGCCTTTAGGAGGTAATCCAGGTTAAAATGAGGCCATAAGGATGAAGCCTTAATCCAGTAGCACTGGTGTCCTTAAAAGAAAGGGAAAAAACACCAGGGTGCTCTCTCTCTCCCTCAGTGGCTACGCACAGAGGAAAGGTCATGTGAGAACACACCAAGAATGGTGGCTTTCTGCAAGCCAGGAAAGAGAGGCCTCACCAGAAACCAACTTATTGGCATCCTGATCTTGGACTTTTCAGTCTCCAGAACTGAGAGAATTTCTTGTTTTGTTGTTTAATCCACTCAGCCTGTGGTATTTTTATTATGACAGCCCTACCTGCCTAATAAAGAAAAACAAATCAAAATCACAAGGAAAT